GTTGGCTCTAGGAGAACACTTTCTTTTTCTGTCGACTCTGAAGGAAGGGCCTTGTCTCTTCAGCTTCTGCTTCCTGGTTCCTTAGAAATCTTCATGTGTCTTGTCATCTCTCTTAACCCATCTCTGCTTCTGCTCACTTGTTAATCTCCTTTTATATTTCAAAAGAGATCGCTGAAGATACACTTTACACTAATCCTGCCTCATTAACATAACAAAGACAACATGTTCTGAAATGGGATTATAGCCACAGGCAAATATAACACATACTTTGGAGGCACATAATTCAACCTATAACAATAACAAACAGGAAATTAGAAAATATTTTTAACTTAAAGATACTGGAAATATAACACAAAACTCTTAAAGTAGTGCAGCTAAGGTACTAAAAAGAAAATTCCTACTCTTAAGTGCATAAGTAGATGAAGAGAAAGACTGAAAAACAATGATTTAAGTATCCAATTTAAGAAATAGGAAAAACAAAAGATTAGATTAAAAGAAAGCAAAAGGAAAGAAATAATAAAGGTGAAAGAAGAAATCAGTTAAATAGAAAAAAAATGTGCAGTAGGTGGGAAAAAAAAGCAATGAAACCACACATTGGTTCTCTGAAAATACTCACATAAAAATGAATAAAAAGAAAATACCCATATAATTGATATGCCTTGAGCAAAAATTATCTGAGACACAGAGAAAAGAACAAAAGAAAGCAGTCAGGAAATAAAGAAAGGCAGGAAAGATTACCAATGTCGGGAGTGAAAGGGGAAAATGCGAGATTACTAATAGGTACTTTACAGATCATGTATTTTGTCTATGATGACAGAAAAAGTGGCATCAACTACTGGTAATGGTTGCACAACTTGACTACTGAAACTGATATCTTGAAGCTGGGTGGGAGGCTTGGGAGAAGGGGAAGAAAAGGCAAAATGGCAAACAGCCACATACATACACACACACACACACAAAATGGCTACACCTATTCATATTACATAGCTTCAAATAAACATCCCATAGTTTCAAAGTTTAGAGTCTTGGCTTCATGGGCCTGTCCAGTCAATTGGCCTAATATTGTTTTAGAGTATCTGTCTGCCTACTAGTTCAAGGAATAGTGTCTGAGGTCTTAAGAGCTTTCCAATAGCCACCAGAGATACAACAATTGGTCTCTGTTTGCCTGGTGCAACAGGAATCAGAAAAGGAAATGGAGTGCAAGAGTAATTGTCTCCATGATGTGGATGGTGCCTGTCTACCAATACTCAACATTTTGATGGAGGACCCAATAGATGGATCTTAATCAATAAGAGGAAAAATGTGGAACAGAAGTTCAAATTCTTATTAAAAACTAGACTTACTGAATACGTTAAGACTGAAGGAACCTCCAAGTGTATTGTTGGAAACAATTTATGAGCTTTGAACCAAAAACTATCCCATGAAGTCATCTTTAAACTGAAAAAATAACTTATCTCATTTAATAAACGGTGTTCACTTTAAGCATTGTGCTTATCTCTATGAGATCAAACAGACAACAGTAACTTTAAAATGCAAATGGGAACTTAAAGGGGCAGAAAGTCTAAGGTAATGGTGGTGAAACAATATGGGCAGAGATAGGGAGAATGGTGACACAATATGAAGTCTGTAACCATTGCTGCAAAACAAAGAACTTCAACCTAAACTTGACATGTTATGTAAAAATTACCTCACAATAGATCACAGATTTGAATGTAAAATGTAAAACCTTTAGAAGAAAATCTTTGACACCTAGGATTGGGTGAAGGGTTCTTAGACATGACACTAAAAACACAATCCATCAAAGAAAAAAAAATCAATAATCTGGATTTCATCAATTTTGCCCTATGAAAGACATTTTAAGAGGATCCAAAGATAAGCTACACTATTGCCCCTACCCACCCTTCAGGTCTGGTTCTGAACTCACTCTTGCAGTTTCCTGAAAAACAATAGATAAACATATGGGATGAACATTTACATCAGGTAGATACACTCCTTGGAACAATCAATCATGGGAGAACAGAAGGGCAGTGTTTGGACAAGGAGACAGCTGGGGGTGGGAGGGAGTGCACAGGAAAGAAAGACACAGGGAAGCAGTAACTACAAAGAGGAAGTGGGAAGAAAGCTGTTACATTTGTGGAGAATGGCAGTCAATGTCCTGAGACAAAATGTGTATGAACGGCTATACGGAAAATGAATTTGCTCTGTAAAGTTTCACCCAAATCACAATAAAAATTAAACAAGAAAGAGATAAACTACAGACTAAAAGTATTTGCAAAGAACATGTTCTGACAAGGGGCTGGTTACCTAGAAATATAAAGAATTTACAAAATCCAAGAGAACTCCAAATAATACAAATAGAAAATGAGCCAAAGATATGAAGACATTTCTCACCAAAGCAGATATATAGATGGCAAATGAATATATGAAAAAGATGTTCAACATTAACTAAGCCACAATGACATATCTGACACAGTCTTAGAACAGTGAAAAAAAATGGTGATGAAACCAAATATACAAGAGAAAACAAAGAAACTGGATCTGTCAAACAACGTTGGTAGAAATATAAAATGGTACAACCAGTCTGGAAGAAAGTGAAAACAAAAAAAACAAAAGAACGTTTGTCTTCAAGTTGATTCCAAGTAATGGCAACCCCATGCTTTACAAAGCAGAACTGTTCTGCAGAGTTTTACTGGCTGTAACCTCTACGGAAGCAGTTTGCCAGGACTTTCTTCCTCAGAGCTTCTAGGTGGGTTTGAATTGCCAACCTTTAGGTTAACAAACTGCTTGTATGACCCAGGAACCTGAGAAAAGAGTAAGGCAATTAAAAAAAATAAAAAAAAAGCTGTATAGCCAGAATGTTCCTTAGAAGCAAGAATGGCCAGATGTCAAAATGGACCAGTCCCTCGAGAAGGATATCATACTTGCTAAAGTAGAGGATCAGCGAAAAAGAGGAAGACCCTCAATGAGATGACTGACACATTGATTGCAACGATAGGCTCAAGAATAGCAACATCTGTAAGGATAGTGCAGGACCAGTCAATGTTTCATGAATCAGAAACGACTCAACAGCACCTAACAACAACAACAAACATATACTTACTATGTGTTGTTGTGTGTTGTCAAGCCTGATTAGAATCCTAGCTAACCCCATTGCATTTTCTGGTGGCATAGTGCCCAGGCATTTGACTGCTAACCAGAAGCCTGGTGGTTCAAACCCACCAGCCACTCCTCAGAAGGAAGACTGGGCAATCTACTTCTGAAGTGATACCGCCTCGGAAACCAAGGAGGGGTCACTATAAGTTGGATCCGACTTGATAACAGTGAGGTTTTTTTTTTTTTTTTTCCGTTAATCTTTATGGGAGCAGTTCTCCTGGTCGTTCTCCCATGCAGCCACTGGGTGGGTCTGAACCACCAACCTTTCAGTCAGCAACCTAGCACTTAACCATTGTCTCACCAGGGCTCCTTACATTTACCATAGAACCCAGTAATCACACCCCTGGGGTTCTATCCCAGAGAAATGACAGTTTCTATCTGTACACTACTGTTCATAGCAGATTTATTCTAACAGCCCAAAACTGGAAACAATGAAGATGTCTCTGAAATGTGGAATCACATTTGGCCTTTGTTCCCTGTCCTTTCAAACCAGACCAACACCTGTGGCACAATGAGTTCCTTTGTTTGGCCCTTTGTCCTTGATTTTTGTAAAAACAACTTGTGGGATTTCCTGGCTATTTGGCTACCCATGAAAATGTGTTACTTTTGCCTTTTCTGGCTAGCTGCCCCCTCCCTAGCCTTGTAATTGACAAGGTTACTGACAAGGAAGATCACCCAGTAACTGACAAGGACCAAGTGCCCAGTTTGGCTGAGGAGCTCCACCTAGTAATTGACAAGGAGCCTACACTGATAGCTGACAGAAGACTGGTTTATAAAAAGCCCTGGAACACTGAGGCTCGATAGGGCTTTCAGGTTGAGGAGAGCTGGGAGAGGGATGGTGCTGAGGCCCTGAGCTAGAAACAATCCCAGACCCAGTTAAGAGATGAAGAGCTGTATAGGGCAGAGCTGGACTGATTCAGAGCTGGCCCTGTCAAAGAGCGACAGTGGCAGCCAGCAAAAGCAGAGATGAACAGAGCTGAGAACTTCACTGATAAAGAAATGAGCTGACAGAACAGAGCAGAGCTGCCCTGAATGAAGGAATAACTGTTTAAGAGATGCACTAGCAGGGGCATTTCTGCTCCAGAAAGTTGTCATGGAACATTTCCTGGTTGAGGAGTTTCCTGGTTGGCGAGAGTGAACATCTGCTCTTGGAAGGGTAAGCATGTCCCTGGATATATTGAGGCCCCAGGTCCTCTTTCAAACCTTGCCCTGTACATTTCTTCATTTATATCCCTCTCTGTTAAAGTTGTTATCGCAGGTATGGTGTTCTGGTGAATTCTATGAGTCATTCTAGGGAATTACCAGATCTAAAGGAGTGGTGGGGCTAGCTTGCCTGAGTGCAGAGAGTTGTATGGAATTCTGTGATTTTGGCACATTTACTTAGAACCAAGTGACTAGGGATACAAGACCCAGTCCTGAGTGGTTAGGGATTAGATAGATGAGCTATATGGGCAGTTAGGGTATGAACTGGCCAGGGAAGGGAAGCTGAGATTTTCAAATGACACATGTGGAAAGAGATCTATAAAACACCACACCTGGCCTCAAAGGTGGATGATCTTAGTCTCCCTGGACTGGTTTGCACAGTTGGCACTGTGAGCAGTAAAGAACCACTGACTGAAAATACCAATATATTTCAACAGGTGAACAGTTAAACTGTAGTATCTCTATGCCACAAAATACTACTCACAATGAAAACAAAAGTAAAAACACAAAAATCACTTTATAAAGGGCCTAGTAACATATGCCTAATGCTACTATTTGAACACTTTTGTGAGGAAGCAGGCCTGAAAGGCACTTCTTCCCAACTACTGCCTGTCATGGTCCTCAGGAAGAAACAAAGAACCCACCTGTGACATCCAGGTAGAAGGAGACCTTCTGGCCCCCGGCCTCACAGCTGTACTCTCCAGCATCTGCCTTGCCTGCCTGCTGCACCACCAGCTGCCGCCCACAGCCAGTGGCCTCCATACGCATCTTCGAGCTTGCACTCAGCTTCTTCCCATCCTTGTACCAAGCAACCTCCGTCTGGGCCTTGGCCACTTCACAGCTCAGCGTGGCGGGGGACCCAGCCTCGGCCTGCACTTTGCTATGTGCTGGCTGTTCCTTGGCAAACACCGCCATGGGCTCTGGGGATAAGGAGGGATACACAATCAGAAACACCATCTTAATCAGGAAACAGCACTGAGCAAAAGCCTGCATGAAAGCTTGGACATCCAGAAACTCTCTAGGCTCTGCCTCTAGCTTTGTGGCCTGGAGAAACCCCAGGCCTTTCTGAACAAGTCACTGCAGTGCATTTATACCTCCTGCCACTGATGGCATGTGGGGTGTTTCTGGAATGACAATTTGTGAGACTGTTCCTGTCCACACATTGCTCTAGGACAGGACTGGTGGATCAGGATGACAATGCACCTTTACCCTGGCCAGATGATGCCAGTGTTTTCCAAAATACAATGCCAGGAACATTCCCACCAGCAGTGCAGGGGAGTTCCTGGTGCTCCACTGTTGAGCCTCCTCTTAGTACATCAGATGTGTTAACTCCTGCCTATCTGCTGGGCATGTGGCTCTCCCACCCCATGATTTTGTGTGCATTATTCTGACAACTGTTACAGCGGAGCCCCTTTTCCAAGTTTATTGGCCAATTCTGTTTCCTTTCCTTGGTGTCACTTTTCAAGTCTTTACCCAGTTTTCTTTTTCATATTCAATTTGGGAGCTCTTTATGAATTTGGAGGCCCTGGTGGCACAAACAATTTGCACTTGCTACTAACCAGAAAGTTGAAGGCTGAAACCCACTCAGCAGAGCCACAAAAGTCCTATCAATCTACCTCTGTAAGATTAAAAAACAACAAAAACTCATCACCATCAAGTCTATTCTGACTCATTGCAAGCCTATACAACAGTAGAACTGCTCCCTAGGGTTTCTAAGGCTCCCAATAAATCTTTACAGAAACAAACTGCCACATTTTTCTCCTGCAGAGCAACTGGTGGGTTCGAACTGCCAACATTTCAGTTAGCAGCCTGGAACCATTAAAAACCCTATGGAGCAGTTCAACTCTGTAACACATAAGGTGCCATAGTCGTAACTGACTCAATGGCAATGGGTTTGGATATATATGTGTGTGTTGTTGTTAGATGCCATTGAGCTGGTTTCAACTCAGTGACCTTATGTACAAGAGAACAAAACACTGCTTGGTCCTGTACCATCCGCGCTCAAGCCCATCATCAGATCTACTGTGTGAATCCATGCCATTGAGGGTCTTCCCCTTTTTGGGTGATTCTCTGCTTTACCAAGCATGATATCCTTCTCCAGGGAATGGTCCCTTTTGATAACATGACCAAAGTACGAGAAACAAAGTTTGACCATTCTTGTTTCATATAATATATATACTGGAGTGTTGACAGTTAAGTGTGCTATAAATATATTCCCTATCTGTATGGTTTGCCATTAAACTCTTTTATGATGTCTTCTGATGAATGAAAGTCAAATATATTTATCTTGTTCTTTAGGGTTGGTACAGTTTACATCCTCTTTAAGATAACCTGTTTAAGAAATCTTCCCCGACCTGAAAGTCATTAAATAGTCTATATTATCATCTAAGAGCTTTATGGTCCCACCTTTTACATTGAGGTCTCCAGTCACCTGGAGTTTATTTTCATGTGTGGTATGATGTAACAGTTCAACTTTACATATTTTACATATGGTTAAATGGTTCAAGCACCATTTATGAAAAGGCTACCCTTTCTGCACTCCTTGCACAGACTCTGCAATTTAAAAAAAAAAAAAAGGGGGGGTGTGTGTGTGGGAATCCACTTACTCACGGGTCTGTTTCAGAGATCACCATTCTATTCCTTTGTTCTGTTTATCTGCCCCTGCATTGAGACCCTGTTGTCTTAACTACTTTATAAGTCTTGGTATCTGGTAGAAAAAAATGTTCTCACTTCATTCTTCTTCAGGAGTGCATTGCCTATACTTAGCACACCAATTTCAACAATCCCACCACCACCACCACTCAAAGAGATCTTTTCTTTGGACCTTGACTGGGAATAAACATCTTTGAAGCTTCCATGGATTTTTCTTTACTACCTCTCAAAAACATTTAATACTTTTCCACACAGGAACCTTAAATATTTTCATTAGACTTGAAATTAGATACATGATACTTTTGATGCTATTGTAAATCTTTTAAATTTCATTTTCCAACTTTTTATACAGATATAGGGGAGCTCTGGTAGCATAGTGCCTAAGGCATTTGACTGCTAACCAGAAGGCTGGCAGTTCAAACCCACCAGCCACTCCTCGGAAGGAAGATTGGGCAATCTACTTCCATAGTGATACTGCCTCGGCAACCCAAGGAGGGGTCGCTATGAGTCGGGTCCGACTCGACGGCACATAACAACAACAACAACAACAATACAGATATAGAACTGTTCCTATTTTTGATTTTTCATAAACAGTAATCTTTCCTGACTTTCTTACTAACTCTATAATTGATGTTTTGGATTTTCTGAATTGATAACAATATAACTTGGGAATGCCACTTTTATCTTTTCCAACATTTATACCTTTGGTTTTATCAGTAAGTATTGTGTTGTACAAGCCACCATCCTTGTATTGTTCGGATTTCAGTTGGAAAGCTTACAAAGACTCAAGGGTTTTAATGTAAACTGGTGTTTTCTGTAGTACTCTTTTTCAAATGTTAAAAGTATGCTTTTATTTCCAGTTTGATAAGAGTTTTTATCATGAATTTATCCTAACGTTGATCAAATGTCTGTTGTGCATCCATGATGTCAAATTTTATCACTTTTTTTCTATAGCTATTGAGATAATTATATGGCTTTTCTTAAGCTGCTAATGCCATGGATAATATTGATTTTCTAATGCTAAACCAACCTTGCATTCTATGGCCTTGGTCATAATGTATTATGCTTTTAATATATTGCAGGATTCACTTTGCCAATATTTGGTTTAGGATTTTAACCTTGAAATCCTTAAGAGATTGGCCTGTAATTTTAATTCTTCAGAGTTTCCTTGACAGACTTTTTATCGAGGTCATGCTCACTACGTAAAATGACTTACAGGAGATTGTCTTCTTTTTCTCTCCTCTAGAAGATTCTCCATAAACTTGGAAAAATTTACTCCCTGAATATATGGCAGAACTTATCAGTTAAGCAATCTTGGATTAGATTTTGCTTGTGAGGAAAAAAAAAAAACCTATTACTAATTACGTATCTTTAAAGATTTGTACTTACTTAGGTTATCTGTCTCTTCCTGAGAAAGATTTGATATACTTTTCTAGGAATTGATTCAGTTTTTCAAAACTTTTAGAAATTTATTGGCATAAAATAATTTGTAATATTCTCTTATAAAAATATTTCAAAAAGATACAGTCCTGGTTTGCTTGTATCTTTATGAACTCACTCACAAGCATTATATACTGATAAAATACCAAAATGTTAAGTGTCTGATGGAGTAGTGATTAAGGCATTTGGTTGCCAACCAAAAGACTGAAAACCACCCGCCCCAGGGGAGAAAGATGAGGCAGTCCACTTCCTTAAAGATGGACACCCTTGGAAACCGTATGGGGCAGTTCTACTCTGTCCTCCAACTCACTGCCATGGAGTTGTTTCCAACTCATAGAGACTCCCGGAAGTAGATCCCCTGGTTTTTCTTTCAGAAGGAGATGCCCCATTTTCCTTCCATGGAGTGGCTGGTTGGTTTGAACCGCTGACCTACCAGTTAGCAGTCAAGTGCCTTATCCACTATACCACCAGAGCTCCTACTCTGTCCTTTGAAGAAAGAAAGAAAAAAAAAAGCCTCAATTACACCTGGTTTACCAGCCACTCCTCGGAAGGAAGGTTGGGCAATCCTACTTCCGTAGTGATACTGCCTCGGAAACCCAAGGAAGGGTCGCTATGAGTCGGGGCCAACTCAACGGCAAACAACAACAACAACAAGTATTTCATTTGGTTAAATATTGGCATCTACTGGTCAAATGTGGAACTGCAGACACCCAATTGACGCTATGAATCCTCAACAAAATAATCATAAAGTTCTTTCTTAGATTTCTCTATGAACCAGTTAGTGGCTTACAGACACATACTTATCTTTGAGGAATTCTATGAAATAAATACTGCTTTACCAGTCAGGGGCTGCTACCACAGTAATTAATCATTAACAAGGCATGTTGATATGGCAGAAGCTACTTATTCTTTTCCATTCCTAAAGATGTATGTCCAAACCCAAGGGATATTTCACACAGAATGTTTTAACTTAAGGAAAAGGGAAAACATGATTTTCTTTAAAAAGAAACCCCAAATCTCACAGCAGCATGTCTATCAATTCTCAGTTCATTTACTTTGCACACCTCCAACATGTCAATCTGGATTTTGTGCATATATGCACAGAGGGTTTCCACATCCACGTCAAAGGAAAGCAACAGTGGCCAAAGCACCCAAACTGTGATGGTGCAAAAATAAGCCTTGAGATAATGCCAGGATGACTGGGTAGCTGAAGTCTCCCCTCTCCTGCTTCAATGAGATTCAAACATCTCTCGCCTGGTGGGACCCCCAAGACCATGGCCCTGGGATATACTTTGGGCCTGGGATAGGACTCACTCCCAAGGACTGGCTCTCAGCCCAACAGTAGATTTACATGCAGAACACTCAACCTAGGGCGATGCACCCACTCACTCTACAGAGATACACTTCTTGGAGCAATCGGCCATGGGGCACCAGAGGGGAAGCATTCACATGGAAGGAAAGCTGGACAGACAGGAGTGCATAATTAAGAAGGGCACGGGATGGGGAAGTCACAGGGAAGGGAGAGGAGGAGAGTGGGTTAGGGTTGGGGATGGTAATCAGGGAGTAAAACAAAATGTACATGAATTGTTGAATGTAAAACAAACTCTGCTCAGTAAATTTGCACCCAAAGCACAATTTAAAACAAAAAAATCTCTCGCTAGGGAGAAGCCCTATGAGGTGCTGACTGAAGGTGTGTGCAAGCTGCCAGAAGGATATTCACATTTCAGAGGTGAAGATGCCCAAGCACCAGACAGATGGAGAGTCCTAGAAACCAGAGACAAAGGCTCTTTGGGTATCGGCTGGGAACATGTGACTATCCATTCCTGCCTGAAGCCCACCTGAGGGGAAGCATAGCACCTCTCCCTTTAGTATACTCCCTTCCAAGACAGCCTCCTGGTTCCCAACCATAGGTAGGGATATGAAATGGTAAGAGGATGGGAGACAAGAAAATAAGAGGTCCAAGGACAGAGTACACCAGGGCCCATCAAAGTGATAACTCAGTCCTATCATCTTCCTCAAGCAAGGCTTATGGTCACCCACCTGTGACAGCCAGGCGGAAGGAAACCTTCTGGCCTCCGGCCTCACAGATGTACTCCCCAGCATCTGCCTTGCTCGCCTGCTGCACAACAAGATGCCGCCTGCAGCCTGTGGCCTCCATGCGCATCCTGGAGCTCGCACTTAGCTTCTTCCCATCTTTGTACCACACCACCTCTGTCTGATCTTGGGCCACCTCACAGCTCAGAGTGGTGCTGGTCCCCGCTTCAGCCTGTACCTCACTCTGTGCCAGCTGTTCCTTGGCAAACACTGCTACGGGCTCTGAAGACAGGTAGGGACACACAGTCAGAGACACAAGCCTGGTACCAACCAGCTTCCCAGACAACAAAGCATGAGAGTTTTAATAAATATCCCATTGAGTCCAGTGGTATTGTATATTCTGTGGGCTAATAATTAGACTTGAGTTCAGAAACACAAGGATGCAGTAAGTAAGTGTATAGTTTAAGTAAGTATATAGTTTGGGCATAGCCTCTATCAAGAGCAATTTTTCAGATTGAGGAAGGTGGGTGAGGCTGTTTCAGACTCTATAACTGGTGATTTACTGTCCTTACAACATGACAATCAGCACTGGATGGGTGTCACCCTCTTGTTCGTGAATGTATCTCTACTCTGGGGCACGTTGGAATTTCCTCCATAAAGTTACTCCACGTATTTAAAAAGGTGTAACTGACCCGTAGGAGCTTGGGTAGCATAGTGCCTAAGGCACTTGACTGCTAACCAGAAGGCTGGCGGTTCAAATGCATCAGTCTCCTTGGAAGGAAGGTTGGGCAATCTACTTCTGTAATGATACTGCCTCAGAAACCCAAGGAGGGGTCTCTATGAATCAGGTCAGACTCGACAGCACATAACAACAACAACAACAACAACTGACACGTAGTAAAGTGCTAGCTGTGGTTTTACAGCTCAGGGATATTTATGTATGTAAACCCTCAGTAACCAACACATATATCAAATATAGATGTTTCTACTCCCCAATCACAACTTCATCCTCCTAAAGGTAACTATCATCCTGATTTCTCTCACCATAAATTACTGTTGCCTGTTATTTAATTTCACATAAATTGAACCATGCATTAGATACTTTTGTGTCTGGTTTCTTTTACTAAATATAATGTCTATAAGATTTATCCATGTTATTGGATGTAGCTGTCATTTCACTTTCTATTATTGTATAGAATGCTACTGCATGAATAGATAACAATTTAGTTTTCCTTTCTCAATGAGGGTCATTTGGGTTGTTTCTAATTTGGATATGTCATTAGTAAAGTTTCTATGAGCTTCTTGTACACATCTTTGGTGGGCATGTGTAACTGCTGGCACATAGTGAGGCCTGTGTTTGGCTTTAGTAGATATTGCCAAACAGTTTTCAAAAATGGTTGTATTAACATATAGTCCCACCAGAAGCATGTGATAGTTCTAATGCTATACATCCTTACCAACACATAATACTATAAAATTGAATTTTTGAGGCCCAAGTCCACAGTGAGACAGGACCATGGAAAATTGAGTCCCACACTCTACTTGTTTCCCCTCAAGATGTCTGATGAGTTCTAAAACTGCACAGAGGAGCCCTGAGAGTGCAATGGTTGAGCACTTGGCTGCTAAAGCTTCCAAGGATGAGGAGCTTAGAAGCCGACCTGAAAACTTCTAGAAAGCTGAGAGGAATTTTCAGCATCTTTGCCCAGGATCAAAGGTGAACCAGAGATGGATGACCCCTACCAAAAGTGCAGTGAAGCTCAGTCCCAAAATGGATTAAGGCACTATCTGCCTGGCAAAAGGAAGAGGGAATCCTCTCTAGAATAAGATCACATCATCCATACTCAACAATTACTAACATACAATGTCTGAAAGTAAACTGGAAGCTTGCAGGCATGCCAAAGACGGGAACAAAGATGAAAGAAAGAAAAAGAGAGGAAATATCAGGTGATCCAGTATTAAATTTGTTAGATAACAAATCAAACAAAAATTTTCATTAGAAAATTAGATACTATTAAAAATCAAGAATTTATTGTTTGGGAAGCAATGAGTTGCTATGTATGGTGATGGGAAATTTGGCATCAATTAAGGGTAATGGTTGCACAACATGACTAATGTAACTGATGTCAATAGAATTGTACACTTGACAAAGATTGAACTGTCAATTGTTGTGTTACATATATCTTTATGATGACAATAACAAGAAGAGCAGCTGCTGATTCTGCTTCTGTACAAACAAATACTTTACGGGTTTGTTTTCTTATTTGGAAGTTTAAGGCCATGGTTTCATGGGATATCCCAGTCAATGAGCCTCAAATTGTTTTTACTGTTTCTATTCTATCTCCTAGTTCCTTACATAGTTCCTTCAGTATTAAAAGCATGCAAGAAGCCATCTAAGGTACTATTGGTCTCTACTTGCCTGCAGCAGCAAAGAAATATGGAGAGACAAGAATAGGAGAAAGAACTGGAATGTATGTCTTATTGCCTCCATGAACAACTACCTCTTTTGCCATGAAATCAGAAAAGGATGGTGTTGGGCTACCATTACTGAACATTTTGATCAAAGATTCTATAGAAGAATCCTGATCAAATGGGGGGAAATGTGGAATAGAACATCAAGTTTTCAAGGAATCCAGAATTTCTGTAGCAATGGAGACTAGATGAACCCCTCAAAACTACTGCCCTGAGACAATCTTTAAACCTTAAACAAAAAATATCCCCTTACAGTCTTCTTTAAACCAAAAAATGTAGTTGCACGCCGTCAAGTCGGATCAGACTCATAACAACCCCTCCTTGGGTTTCCGAGGTGGTATCACTACAGAAGTATATTGTCCAACCTTCCTTCCGAGGAGTGGCTGGTAGGTTTGAACTGCCAGCCTTCTGGGTAGCAGTCAAGTGCCTCAGGCACTATGTTAATTTAATTTGTAAAAAAAAAAGTATGCCTTGAGAATTGTGCTTTCTTAAAGAATTATCTATATGTGATCAAATTGACAACAGCAACTCAAAAGGCTATATGAAAAGTTTAGGGGGCAGTGAGTTTATGTTAATTGCTGTTGGAATAATTTGAAAAAGAATAATGACAAAGGATACACAACATTATCCATGAAAGTAATTGATATAACTGAATTATACATGTAGAATTGTTAAACTGATACACATTTTGCTGTGCATATTTTCACCAAAAACATATAATATTAATCTTTTAAAAGAAAGAAAAAGAGGAACAAAACAATTAATCAAGGGTAAGTTCTCAAACATGAAAATACAGTAACTAAAATAATTACACTACCAACAGGAGAGACAGCAGGTGACATTCAGGGGGACACACAATTAGTGAATTCAAAGAAAGATAGATAGAAAACACCCAGACTAAAGCAGAAACAGAGGAAAAGAAGTGATTAAAAGAAGGGAGGAGGGAAGAGGAAGAGTGGGGAAAAAGGAGGGAGGGAAAGGAAAAACTCAACAAAAGCAAATATTAGCTCTGAAAAAAGGATAATAAAATTGCGATTAATGACATGAATCTAGTCAGAATGTTTAAAGAAAAAGAAGACAGAGAGGGAGGGAAAGCACACATTGACCAACGTGAGGAATGAAGGAGGGGACAATGCTAAAGAGCTGACGGATATTTAAAACACACATCATCTGCATAATTATTGCAGCTTGATAAAGGGTTTAAAGAAATACATTTAAAAATTAAAAAGGCAAGAGAAAATAACGAACCTCCCCTAAACCTCACATCTTGTGTAGAAATTAACTCACACTGGATCATAGATTTAAAAGAAAATGTGAAACTATGAAAGGTTTAGAAGAAAATATGGAGGATAATCTTTGGAATCTAGGACTGGGTAAAGAGTTCTTAGACATGACAATAAAAGCACAATCTGTGAAGGAGAAATAGAGGAACTTCGCCAAAATTGAAACCTTCAGCTCCATGAAAGGTCCTGTTAAGAGAATCAAAGATGAGCTAGAGACTGGGAGAAAATATCTGCAAACAACATACCTGACAAAGGATTAGTATGTAGACTATATAAAGAACCCACAGAACTCAACAGTTAAAAAGATATATATCAAAATAGAAAATAAGCTAAAGAAATGAAGAGACTGTTCACCAAAGAAGACATACAGAAAAGAAATACACAAATGCAACTCAATGCAACACACTACCATGGAGTTGGATCAACTCATAGTGACCCCTCCTTGGATTTCCGAGGTGGTATCACTACAGAAGTAGATTGCCCAACCTTCCTTCTGGGAGTAGCTGGTGGGTTTGAACCGCCAGCCTTCTGGTTAACAATCAAATGCCTTAGGCACTACACCACTAAAGCTCCCAGGAGAAAAGAAATACACCACATGAAAGAAGTTCAACATCATTAAACCAAAGCAAACTCACTGCCGTTGAGTCAAATCCGACTCATAGAGACCTCTCCTTGGGATTTCCAAGGCAGTATCTCTACAGAAGTGTTAGGAAAATGTAAATTAAATCGCAATGAGGTACCCCTACATACTCATTGGGAGCTCTGGTAGCATAGTGGCTAAGACACTTCCTGCTAACCAGACGGCTGGCAGTTCAAACCCACCAGCCACTCCTCAGAAGGAAGGTTGAGCAATCCTACTTCCGTAGTGATACTGCCTC